AGGCTGTAGCCTAAATGGAAACTTTTTCCCTTTGGAACTGACGACAATAAGCCTTGAGATCTGCTTTTGCGTTACTTACACGGTTTTAGATATAACTATAACGGATTCCTAGAGTTGTACATAAACACTGAACCACGTATATTGCTTAAGAATGGTGTACAAAAAAAATGACCTGTGTTGTAGCTGAAATGCCTATCCAAAGCGCCGTGTTATCATGAATTTGTATTTAAAAAAATGCTGTAAAACTATTAATATAATATTATGATTTATGATTTACCGGAAAAATGATCCTAATGGAAAAACTAAATAACAGTAACGTCTTAAACGTGCTGCGTGTGCTTAGTGATTTTGCTATTTTAGAAAACTAAAAAAAGGCCAGAATCTTAAACAGAAAAACAACTGACGTTGATAAGCTCATTAAAGAATGATAATACAGAGGGCAACTGCAGGTAATCAATCATCAAGTTTGTTCAAAAAATTCAACTAGAGTCAAATTCCTAAAAAAAGTTGAAGGGGAGTGTTGGCGCCCGCAGGCAAATGCATTTTAGAAAACCAAAAAAAAATTTAGAAAAAAATATACAGTAGGAAAACACATTAAGGGGCCTCACTACCAAGTCTTTTTTTTGTCAAAAACTACTGTTTCTAATTCCAACGATACGTGTCGACAATTATCACGATTTTCATTCTGAAAAGATATTCTGATTGTCCGTAATATATACAAGGGAACGATCGAGCCACATTTTTAATTTTTGTAATTTAAATTGCAATAAAAATTGTAAAAAAATACAGAATTTCCAACTTAAATATTTAATTAACTAAATACAATTTTAAAAATGTACCTCTATCGATCCCTCGTACATGTTGTGGAAAATAAGAATATTTTGTCAGAATGAAAATCGAGGTAATCGTTGCGACGTACTGTTGGAATTAGAATCGTATGTTTAAGTGAAAAATAACTAATAAGCATTTTTTCATGATCACAATATTATTATATATTGACATGTGTGCGAGAGCCCTCCGCACCACTACAATTGACCCGCATGGACGCCACACACACTAATAATCATTTACGACTAACACATAGATCTCGGGTGGCGACGACGAGATTAGAAATTGCCTAAATGATTCTCCTTAAATCAATGCCATTGCGAGGCCCCTTAAAGAGTTCAAAATAAAATGTACAAAATCTTAAACAGAAAAACAATATTGCCAATGATTAGCTCAGGGGCGTACTCAAGGGGGGGTTCGTGGGGTTTGAACCCCTCCCATGACCTTACTAACCGATGCACTTTTGTGCGTTCTTGTTTATACATAATATAATTCACAGGAGCAATTTTCTAAAAAAAAATTTTTAAGAAGGGAAAAAATAAACAAATATATTTATTTTCAATTTTATATCAACATGCATTATACAACGATTACAAGCATTATCTGTTAAGAACTGTATTATGATAACCAGATAAAATTTAAATCAAACATACAAGGTGTATTGATAAGTTGTCGTCACTCTGGACCCCTATACGTATACACTCTTGATTGAAAATATTACCACAGTTCTATAGTCACCAGAGCGCGCTTCTTGTCCTACGAAGGCCTGTATATTCATTCTGTTAAATGCAAAATGTCTTAAAACTTCAGAATTAAAATGCTAATATTTTTTTAAAATTGAAGTCAGTATTTACAAAAACATTGAATCATAAAAAGTTTTTTTTTTTAATTGAGTTGGTATAATAAATTTGGAGCCTGTAATTATACATTACATTTGCATTTTATTCATTGGCAATATTTTCATCGAGTAGACATCAATTAGAAAAAAATATTATGTATAATTTAGTCACTTCTTTGGATATTTGCATCCTTCTTAAAATCTTTAAATTAAATTAAAAATATTATGATTCTACTCCTAATTCTAATAGTAGTCTGGTAGAGTGGAGTATTATTTTCTAGTGCTCATAAAAAACTAAAAACATGTTTAAAATATTTTGCATATTTTATTTTATGATTAGGTATATTATTTATATTATAATATTATTCAATAATAGTTATCTTATAAACTTCAAACTAATTTTGAAAAATCGTTCAGTTTTTTTGGTGTTTCTTGTTTTTAGCACCTTGCTCATTTTTTTCTTTTATAAGTGAATATCATTCTTGTTTTGACATAATGCGTTATGAATTATGATATATTTGGTTAATATTTGACTGTGTATTGAGCAACCAACCTTTGTCAAAAAATTTGTTTATATATTTCTTCAATAAATATAAATTATGTTAGAAAAATAAACAGTGAAAAATGTATATGTAGTTTTCAAATTGAAATGCAACATTAAAAACATGATCTTTTACCGGGACAGCTAGTTATATTTATTATATTTAGATATTTTACACTATAATCTAGTACAGTATTTCTCAATTTTTTTTGTCGTGAGGCTCCCTAAATTTAATGTAAAACTGTCAAAGCCCCCTTAATCAAAATTATTAATTGTTTTTTCTAAATTAGGTATATACTAAAATTACTTGTACTATTTCACACAGATTAATTATTAAAATGTATAGTAATTTAATATACTTTTGAAAAATATTAATGATAGTATTAAAATTTAAGTATTTATTCTTTTTCCATAAACGCTTAAAGTCAAAAAATAAAAATAAAAATAAAATAATAACATTTTTTACTAGTGTGCCTGGAAGTTCTAAGTACATTGAACCCTATAATAATCTTAAAAGAAAACATGAACACGTTAATCAATCGGAATCGGAATATTGTTCTTTAAATAAACATTTTTCATTTTTGAAATTTATTTTCTGTAGAGTAGGTACATTACCATGTTTATATTTAATATTTGTAAAAAGGAGGTGACAAAGTCCCCGTGATAAAAAACAAAATGTTCAACCCCCCCCCCCCCATTGAAAATTCCTGAGTACGCCCCTGGATTAGCTCATTAAAGAATGATGATACAGAGGGCACCTGCTTCTTAACAATATTCAAGTCTATACAAAAAATTCAACTAGAGTCAAATTCCAAAAAAAAAAATTGAAGGGAAGTGTTGGCGCCCGCACTGGGCATGGTTAGCTAATTTAGACTTTTTAATAAATGTATTTAATTATAGCGACACGTTATCTTTATCTATACCTACCTATTGTATATTATGATCTCTCGGGCCTCGGCAGTGGCCACTTGTTATATATTTAATGCGGTCTATAGAAATCGGAGATCAGAGAAACGCTCAATGAGTTTCATGTAGCACATTTCATCTTTGTAGATCAGAAAATTAAACTTAGAGTATATATAGGTGCTTAGAGAATGACATTGTTCAAATTGTGTGTTTTGGGATGATAGAAAATAAAAAATACTGTAATGGAATGTAATAATAAGCCCAATGGTTTTGAACTCTTCGCCATTTTTCAAGTCGACTTAACTATTTTAGTTCAATAGTTCAACAAAGTCTTTGAAAAAGAACGTCATTAGGGTGATAATAATTCTGATTTCTGAGTTTCTGACTGGCTGCGCCAAAAGTGATATTATCTAATGTCTGTATTCCACGAATATTTTACACTACTTACGGGTAATTTAGCCAGTAAATTATATAGACATTGACATTGACACTATTTGACAGTTATTGTAATAGAAGGTTGCTGGTTGACTCGTTAGTTGTGAACAGAAAAAATATCGTATTAGTTATTAGTAATTAGTTATTGTTTATCTGTAATTATTATTATTACATTATACAGTGGAGTGGCAAACTTCGTTAACTTATGAGGCACAATAATTTATATAAGTAATAAATTATAAATACTTTTATAAGTAATTACGTATTTAAGTAAATGATAACTGAGAAAGATTGGCTTAGTCTGAGTCATGAACATTAGAGGAAGGACGCCGAACTGTGTATATAAAAGTGGTCCGGAATTATCGCATTCAGCCAGAATGCGCGTCGGACCGTAATGATGTCGTTTTTACATATTGTACAGCATAGGGAATTTATTGGTTTTTTAATATTATATTCTAAATGGTGTAACTTATGAATAATTACTATAGAACATTTTTTTAAAACCAAATTGCCCTCGATCGAATATATGTGTTTCCAATAATATACGACTTTTATAAAAAAAGATATAGTTGTTGTCTCTTTTTATAAAAGTCGTATATTATTGGAAACACTTATATTCGATCGAGTGCAATTTGGTTTTAAAAAAATGTTCTATAGTAATTATTCATAAATTTCACCATTTAGATTATAATAATAAAAAACCATTAAATGTCCTATGCTATACATGTAAAAACGACATCATTACGGTCCGACGCGCATTCTGGCGGAATGCGATAATTCCGGACTATGTTTTTACGCTTCGTTCTGCTGTGTTCGGCGTCCTTCCTCTAATGTTCATGGTCTGAGTATACACTTAATAAATTATTTATTATAATATGTGAAATGCCTCTAGTCTCCAGGGCTGCCACCACTTTTTAAAACTGAGGCACGTGCCTCAAATAAAGTCCTTCGTCACCACTGACATTATATTATATTTATTATTCACTAATATTTACATCGCACAAAACGAAAAAGTACAATTCAAATTGTAATAAATACATTTTTGGCGGCTGATGGTTAACGACTGGTGTATCGTTTGTTCCATGTTTTATAACACTATCCATTAAATTGATAAGAAACATTTGTTTTTTTTTTACTGATATAAACCGCTTTTTTATTGTGGTTACTATTTACTATTTTACTCGGTAAATTTACTGGTTAGCCTTAATCTAGCGGTCAGCACATTTTCGATTTGCCGATGCTCGATTTTTGTTTTAATAATATTATTATACCTATTATTGTAATTTATAATATAATTGGTTATTCAGTTGCTTGTAATTTATTTCGACCTTTGTAATTTACCATAGTTGAAAATTGTAAGTAATTAAAAAAATATATAGGTATTAATTATATTAGTTTTAATTATTACATAGTCGTTTATTTTTACCGTAGGATGAATGTATCACAGTTATAATGAGTTATTGGAAAAATTTTGACGTCAATGTGAATGAATTAAAAGATTACTTCAAAACTCACAAGTCCGTCAAAGAATTCCAAGCGCATTCGTCGAAAGTACATTCAGTTGGTTGGAGTTGTGACGGCAAACGTTTAGCGTCGTGTTCATTTGATAAATCTGTGGCTACATTTACATTGGACAAAGACCGGCTGGTGAGAAATTAGATCAAATTACAGTTATTATTTAATTTTTTACTTCCTATTTTATCTGTGAGCTTTGAAAAACAAATCATGGTCCTGGATACTGCAAACTTGATAGAGACAAAACCAATCAGAATAGAACGCGTGGAAATTGTTGGCTTGAAAAGAACAAAAGATGATATTGTTAAAAAAGCTACAAAATGTCTATTTGATTCCAAAACCATCAGTGATGTAATTACCAAGAGTGTGATAGTTAAAAGAAACCTGATGCAGTTAGAGTGTTTCAATGATGTATCCGCCAAGTTAGATGTTAATAGTGTCGATGGACAAGATAAATATTATGTTACTATTACAGTACAGGAATGTAATTGGGTACAAGGACATGTCAAAATTTTATCCGATGCTCATTTTGACAATAACCCTGATCCTAAACTGTCAACTGGAATATCATTTTTAAACTTGTTTTGCCGTGGTGAAAAATTAAATTTTGTGTCTGATATATACTCATCCAACAAAAAATTCTCTACTGGTAGTATTAGTTTTACAAAACCATTACTTGCCTTATTTAATCCATATTTATACACAACAGTTTTCAAGAACCATTATGATAGAAATAGATTTGGCTATTCATTTGACGAGTACGGATTAAATGCTGGAGTAAATTTAAGCCATGAATATTTAAAACTAAACTTATTATGGGAAGGAGTGGCTAGAGATTTAAAATATGCACGAAATGCACCATTTGGTATACGAGAACAGCTCGGACTTACCATGAAGTCATCTGTTAAAATGACTGCTTCTTATGATACTCGAGATAGTGGTGTGTTTCCCAGTTATGGATCACTAGTCCAGTGTTGTTCAGAATTTGCTGGGATTGGTGGTAGCCATGAGTTTGTAAAAAATGAACTGACCCTTCAACATACATTTAGCACAATCCTAGATTTTGCTGTTACTGGATCTTTCTCTTTTGGAATATTAGATAAAATTGGAACTTCCTCTGGAACAAGCAGTATTTTAGATAATTTTTATCTTGGCGGACCATTGACCTTCAGAGGATTTGAAGAATGTGGTGTAGGTAAAAAAGAAGATGGAAGCATAACAGGTTCTTCGATGTTTTGGAGATACAATACTCATGTACATGCTCCACTTCCATTTTTATCTAAAAAAAATAAACTGTCCAATTTAATAAGGATACATTTATTTATGAATTCTGGAAATGTTGGAAATCGTCTAGGAAATCTGACCAAAGACATACGAGGACTGGTCAACAACGTACGGCTATCATATGGAGCCGGTTTAGCTTTAAACATCAACAATTTAATGAGATTAGAAATTAATTATTGTTTACCAGTTTTTTATTCAAATAATGATTCTATTGTGTCAAATAAAAATCAATGGGGCTTTGGTTTGCTGTTCTATTAATAGACTGATAGTAAATTTATATAAATAAATGATGTGTTTTTTGTTATTTTTTGTTATCTTCATAACGAAAACAAATTACCTATTTCATTTGTAGTGTACCTATTATTATAGTAAAATAAAAGTTGTATTTGTTGAACAAAAATGTTTACTAATTGAGTATTAGATTGATTTTTACCTATTAGAAAGTTCTTATTTTATATAGTTTAGTTAAACAAAGGTTGTCAAAGCAAAATGTTGTACCTGTGAATTAAATTGATATTTCTTTGTTATTGTGATCAACACAGTTATTGTAAATAGCACATTTTATTTTCATTTTTATAAAAACTTATTGAATTTGTAAGTTTTTGCTTAGAAGATAAAATGCATGCATTGTGCATATTATACTGATATATACTATAATGGTTTTATATTTTAAATTCTTTTATTATAAGTAATTTATAAAAAAGTTGCTATAATCATGGGCTAGGTAGCTTTTTCACAATTTATTTTCATCATAAACATTAAATGACAAACAAAATATTAATTGCTAAACAGCTAAACAATAAAAACTGAATTTTGCAAAAAACAACCAAAATTTATATTAAAGATTTGTTAACTGAATTTGAATATCAACATTTTTTTTTTGTGAATGTAGTAAGATTGTATTTATATTTTATAATATAAACAAAATGCATATATTTATTTATAACTTATAAATAATATTTTCATATGGAATCTATATAGTTGAATAAGATATTAGTTAACATTGTGCTTTTTTTTATTAATATTGTTGTCTAAGTTTTATTTTTGGGTCAATCAATGTATTTATATTCAAAATGCTCATTAAATGCTAATTATATTTGACTATATTATTAGATTAGTTATAGGGAAACTCGTGATAATCTAGGTATGTGATTTAAATATTTATTATAACATCTTAATGGGTGTCAAAGCAAAAGGTTAGACTATTATTATAGCAGATTATAATAACTTTAAATAATTATATAGTATATTTTTATCGGAAGAATCTATAGTTAAATATTGCTCAGTTATTAATGATTATTATATACCTATATAAATGTTTTTATTTATTTTATCTACATAATTAAAATTTTATTATGATTATTTATTTTATGTAAAATCACTGAATTTAATACAATTTTTTTTGTAGACAGGATACTATACTCGTATTATTACCACTGCTGATTGGTAGACCACATATACTTTTGGTTTACTGCATATTGGGAGACTGCCTTAGAGAATATTGGTTTTGTGATACCTATAATTTTTAAGTCATATTTTGTATAATAAGAAAAATATAGTTTCCTATAATTTAATGGGAAAAAATACTCTCAAAATGTACTTTTATAATCTTTAAATTAACTTTTAAAGACATTGTTATTTAATTGTTATTTATATTATGTCAAAAAAAAAGTATGAACAGGCATCCTTATTTTAGATAAAAGTCTAAAAACAATGTTGATAAATGTTAATTTATCAACATTGTCAATTGCCATAATATTACAATAGTATGTTCAATAACATTTTGCTTTGATGCCTTTCAAAAAAAATGTATATTTTCATTTATTTTTAACTTTTGATTTATGTATAGAACAAGGAATACACATATAAAGGACACAGTGGTAGCGTGGATCAGTTGTGTTGGCATAAGTCTAACCCAGATTTACTGAGTACAGCCAGCGGTGACAAAACGGTCAAAGTATGGGATGTGAGACACCAGAAATGTTCGAATACTATTTTGACCAAAGGTACATAGCTAGAAAATCTTTTCCATCTAATCCATTCCCAATAGGTAATAACACACTTGTTTTTGTATATAGGAGAAAATATAAACATCACGTGGTCTCCTGATGGACATACAATTGCTGTTGGAAATAAAGAGGACTTGATAACTTTCATCGATATGCGCACCCTTAAACCAATTAGTGAGCAACAGTTCAATTTTGAAGTGAACGAAATGTCATGGAACAATGAAAGCGATTTGTTTTTCTTGACAAATGGTCTAGGATGTGTTTATGTGTTAAGGTAAAAATATTAATCTGACAACTAATTATCTGTTTTTTTGTAATTAATTTCTAAATTATATGTTTCTAAATCTGATTACAGTTTCCCAGACTTAGTTCAGCGGCATGTGGTTAAAGCTCATCCGGGTACATGCATTTGTATAGAATTTGCACCAAGTGGCCATTATTTTGCTGTTGGCTCGGCAGATGCTTCTGTGTCTTTGTGGGACCTTGAGAATTTGGCTTGTGTACAGACTTACACCAGGTAACCTTTATAAAATGAAATGCTCTTAAAGTAGTATATTGTTGCCCTTTAGCCTTTTAATCTTCTTTTATTTAAGCTGAAAATATTCCCAAAGAGAACAATTCAGATAATAATATAACGGTTCCCCTATTAAATTGTGGTCTTAATATATTATTTTAATTTAATTTCTATGTAGTTAATAAATCAGTTAAAATAATCATATTTAACTATTGCTTAATTATTGGAATAAATTGTTTTTTTTCTTAAAAATGTAGATTGGATTGGCCAGTTCGAGCTTTAAGTTTTTCCTATGATGGTAAAATGTTGGCATCAGGTAGTGAAGATTTGTATGTGGACATTGCAGATGTTACAACAGGAGAAAAAGTAAGATTTTAGATAGTTATTATATTTAAATCTGTCATGATTTTTGCAGTTTTATTGTTATTTTTTATTGTGATATTTTTTAATTAAGATTACTGATATACCAATTGAAGCAGCAACATTCACTGTGGCATGGCATCCAAAACAGTATTTATTGGCATTTGCATGTGATGATAAAGAACAATTTGACAGGAAAAGAGATACTGGAAATCTGAAAGTATTTGGTTTTAGTTCCGAGTAATCTATCGAAACAACATAAATTTAAAATTTATTTTTATCAATAGAAAATAAATCTGTAAATATATATACCGAAGACAGATTAATCATACTATTGCATAATTTAAATTGTTCATAAGCTATATATTTCTACATAAAATAAGAATCATTCAAACATCCTAAAATTGTAATCTGTTGTATGAAATTACGTTTATAACTTTTATACAAACATATTTTAATGAAATATATTTTCATTATGCAAACAAAAGGTATAGTAATAAGAATATTTCTTCAACTTTTACTATTCCGAGTTGTGTGAATGCTGTCGTGTTTTATATAATAGATTTTTTCTCCACAATTATACTATACCTTTAGGTCAGAGGTAAGGTATACATTTTCTGGAACTTTGTAATTGTTTGTTTATAAAAGAACAATCAATTTCAAACAATAGTATCACACAATTTAAATTTGTAAAAGTAAGTTTAAATAATGTACACTTTTGTTAATCAATTTGTGGCATAGGCGTTGGTACAGGGGAGGGGTATTTCACCCAAAACCCTTTTTATTAAATAAAAATCCCAATGGATTGGTTTGTTTTTGATATTTTTTTTGTGTGTGGTATTCTGTATTTAATTAATTTTATTACCTTAAGTATTCAGCTTTTGAAGCTTTACTTAAAATGAGTTCTACAAAAAATATTAAAACAGAGTATCAAAAGCGCAGAGCTAATGATAAATTTTACCGCTAATGAAAGTTGCCAATAATATGAAACAACAAAAACTTTGTTTTTCCATAAAAAAGAGACCGGCTGACGGCTGTGTTGTAGTTGTTCACTGGAAATTTGAATAATTTCTCAACAAAAAAAATAGTATGCCTACTACCAATTTTTTTTATATTTTCTACATAACTTAGCTTACATGCAATTCTTTTTATTTAGATAGAGTTTTTGATACATTTTCACTGTAAGAATAGTAAAACAATTGCCTGTATTAATGGTTCAAAATTCTTGAAGGCCCCAATTTTTAATGTGCACACCCAGAACCAAGAGTCTACAAGCCTACGGTTTGTGGTGTTTATTATATTATTTTTTTGATGTGAGAAAATTATCACTCATCAGCATGATATTTATAAAGAATACTTCTGTTACTAGTCTTAAATTACAACCTTAACATATTCAAATCAATATTTTATTATAACGCAAGTCATTTTATTCTAATATAAAATTCAACTTTAGGCAAGTTGTCTAAAATAATTTAATCTTGTTATTGCTATAAACTAAGTACGAAGTACGTATCCAGTACGTACCGCCTTATAGATGGTATCATTAAAATTACTGTGTCGTGTACATTTGTCACAATGTTACAGAAAAGTCAGTAGTAGATTTGATTTATCGCCTAGAAGAGGGGAGGGGGGTAATATCCTTTTGGTCCAAAAATTCTACTCGTAACTATTTACCCACTTGGGCTTATACAGAGGGAAAAATATGTATCCAATAGTAAAATTTGTAGACCGTTATTACCTATAAACACTCTGAACTTCTATACAGATTTCTGAAGAAATTATTGTTTATAGGTAGTTTATGATGTCTTGGGGGGGGGGGGGCATATATTTATATTTCATACTATATAAATATTTGTTACAACAATGAATAATATATACCTACATACATTATATTTTTCTTCATCCAGTACCTACTTAGTACTTATGTTGAGTAGGTAGCGATATAATAGCTAAAAATTAGCTGTAATAACTGAAACGATAATGTGCAAATAAATAGATGTTTTTTATTTAAATCGTATAAGCATATTATGTAACAATAATATTATATATCAATAAAATTGTAACACGATGTGACAAATGACAATAATTAATATGAGCCTCGCCTGACACACCATATATTTTTATATAATAATAATATATAGGGTAGGTGCTCGCGTAATATTATAAATTATTACGAATTGTTTTCGGCGGCGTCCGCCTCGTCGAGAGCATCGACGACAAAAGCGGGCAGTGCAAAGGCCGCTTTGTGAATGTCGGTGGTGTAGTAACGTAGCTTCATGTCTTTTCGTTGTTTGTCAGTCAACTGGTACACGGGATTCTTGAAGTCTGTATTCTGCAAAACGAAAAGAGAAACCCGAATTAAACGCCTCCCTATAGTAACTAGTAAACATATGATGGCCTATATCTATCGTACGAATACAGTAAAACACAAATCGTTAGCAGTTCAGTGGAGTCGAGAACGCGTATCTACGATTGTAGGAATACCGAGTGCCTATACACATTTTTCGAACACATTAAAATTATGAATTACCTATTTGCTTGAGTGTATTCATTTAAGTAGGTACTTGACACGCTTATCTACTACAGATACAAGTATCCAACGACACAAATCCACAATTTAAACTGTAGTCCCTACCGAGGCAATTACCTATATATGTATAGGTATTATTTAGAAACCTATAGTGTATTCAAAATTAAATCAAATTAGAATAATGAGCGAATAAACGTAGGGTATAGTAATGCGCAATTAGGATTTTACTTATATTTATTTCTATATATCATTTACTATTTAGGTATATAATATATTCAATAGACACTTTGAATGACTTCCTTCTTGCAGTATGTGTATAGGTAACAATTATTCACTTTTCACTACAGAAACCGACACATAGAAAGGCCTTCGTTGAGGTTTTTTGAGGTGTCTAGGTCAATGTCAATTGTTGCCAGAGTTAATCGACCATAGGTAATGTGCATTATCAAATTGTATGATGTTCATTGTTTACCTATAATATAATCTGCGAGGGGTGCTGAGATGTTTTAATTAATATTTTAATTTTACGATATAGTAATATATTAATAATATTATAGGTACTAATGTACTATAATAGACGCGTGTACGTATTTGGTATAAAATATTGTAATATTTAAAACTCAATCTAATAAACCTGACATTTTTTAACGTACCTTCGTACCAGAAAATGTGTGTCGATACATACAAATCTATCAACGATAACAAACCGTTCTCTTAAAATAAACATGTTTTATGTACCTATGGTGTATACACTTGATAGTATGTACCTATATATTGTATTATTGTATAATATATACAGAGCAATTCACCATGTATGCTCAATATTCCTCCTTTTTTCAAACCTGTCTTATGCAGTTTTTAAATACCTGTAGGTACTCTATAAAGAATATATATTTTCAAATTCTTGAGATTTGTTTCTACTACTTAAGGACTGTACCGCGAAGATATACATTTTAATATTAAAATGTGAAACCTCTTTTCTACTACCTATGTGAATTATTAAAGCAGATAATTGTTACGAAAATGTTGACGTATCAAAACGAAAATTCAAACGAGTAATTTATTTAGCTATTTAACTTTGCGTACCTACTAGGTAAGGATAATTATTAAAGATACATGATAATGGTCTGTAATATACGGGGGGTATATGGCTATATGGTAATTTGAAAATGTCAGTAATGAATATTAACACAATAACACCTATCAACATTATTAATTTTTAAAAAGTATGATAAATAGGCACTAGATAAAATATTACATATTATATTTCATAATTTTTTTATACCATTTTTAAACACTATTATCCTCGGGAAATAAATATTTTAAAAACTTCGAAACTACTGGGTTGGAATTTGTAGTACAAAAATGTCAAGAATTTAAAGATGTGGTCGTTAATAATTGTATGTACTTAAAAATTCCAAAAATCAAAATTTGAATAAACTCATCATTAAAAGAAAACATGGGGTTGAGCATGCTTCGTGAATCACACATTCACACTGTAGATATATAGGTTAGGTTAGGTATTATACTGTGTACGGTATGTAGTATACCTAATACCTAAACATGACAATTACCTAAACTATTAAACGGACACATATGTTAATTCAATGTAGGTATAGTAATTTCGTTAATATTAAACAGAAAAGGTTTTAGAAATTTGTCAAATCCCATAGTCGTAGGTATTATAAATGTATAAAATATGTTATGTACTTATGTATAATGTGTCATATGCGTATTACTGAAATATCCCTGTAATCTTCGTGTGATTAAAAATACATCAACTCCCAACTATAGTACATGCTACTACCTATCTATACTGCTATACCTAAAAATTAAAATGCACATTAATCTTGTTGGTCGATAACAGGTGATAAGATGATCACAATATAATAAAACCAAAGTAACAGAGTTCAAAATTCACACATTATTTCGATTCATGCGGTTATCGACGTAACATAATAATTATTTTATATTTTACATAATATAATTATATTATTATTACTTATTAATATTATAATTATTACCACGATAATAATATTACTTATTCATAAATGATAAATCCATATAGACGTGTATAGACGTGCCTAAATACAGTATACCTACACGGCTACACCATACACGTCGGGGAAATATAATTATTATTATTATTATTTGTATTACTAACATTCCAATATTCATATTGTTATTATCACTGCAATATCCACAGGTACATACCTCGTCAAGACTGCCGAGTGCGAAACCGATCTGACCCGCTGGGTAAGTGGACACGTAAGACGTTGCGTACGCCGCCTTGGCGAATACAGCTTTACAATGGTTGCGCATCGACGCTGCGTTTTTCAAATGTCCCCAGAAAGTATCGGCTTGTGAACACACGATGCCGCCGGGCCTCAGTGCTCGTTTCATTAACTCAAAGTACGACTTTTGGAATAGCGAAACAGCTGGTCCTATATATATATGAAACGAAAAAAAAACAAATGCATGAACGATATGAAAAATTCCTCGATTATAAATATATGATATTTATGGGAAAAAATCAAAAACGTAAATGGGTACCTAACATACGCATAACATCATAATATATTATTTTTTCCTTTTCGACTAATCAAAATTTAGTTAGATGTGTCGTAAATATTATAATAAGTATTAATTTCAACGATTATTATTTTTAAGAGCTCGTCCACCCTCATGTGTTGTCTCCGTCTTACATTGCACGTAACGACACGGACAAAACGCGTTCGCGCAGTCTGAGTAGAAATTGCTCAAATTTGGTTCTAGAGTAAAAATACCCAGTATGAAACTGAATTGTGACAATATTTCTGAGGGCAAGTCGTTGAGTTTTTTTTTAAAAATTAAAATTTTGAAAAGTTAAAGGTATTTAAAAAAATTTGGAATTTGTTCTATCTCCAAACGTTATATTAGGTATGATGGAAAAAACGCAACAACTTAGCATCACAAATATTACCACAATTGAATTTTATAATAGGTATTTTTACTCTAGAACCAAATTTGAGCGATTTTTACTCAGACTGCGTAAACGCGTTTTATCTTTATGTAAGACGGAGACCACACATGTGGGTGTGACTGTGACGTTCTCTTAATGTATTTTTTAGGCTCTGAATCTGAAAGTAATTGAAAAAATTGTCGCTCTTTCATCATTGAAAATTTTACCAAAAAAACGGATAAAAATTGATTACGATGATGTAATGTTAGAGAACGATGGTCAGAATCTAATTGTTTTATAATATTAGGCGTCAAAAAACGATGGTTTCAAAAATGTAGTTATTAACATTTTTATATTGAGGCACAATAGCGCATTTGGTTGAACTTTCAGATTCAGTATCTTAAAACAGAATTGCGGAAAATAATTAGCACTAAATATTCAGAAATCATAAACGGAAAGTTATTTTTCAACCGAGTCATTTAATGGATCTACATAGTATAGACTACAAATGCTATTTATTTTTAACGTTAATGAAATCGAGAGAAAAGCATGGACAAATTAATTTTACTGATTATTTAATAATTACAATAATATTATTAATTAATTTATATTTATTTTTTTCTTCAGTAGTTGCATTGGCAATTTAAATATAATAATTAAAATGATGTGAAATCTCAGGTACCTGAAAATATTGGCTGTGTCTATATCTATTATTTTATAAACATGCAGGCCCTTCAAATTTGTAAATAAAGGAGATCGTTTTCATGCATATTAATTGAATAATTATATAAAGTACCAATTGGATCAGAAGAGTCAGTTATAATGACGTCGTAGTACTGAAAGTGTTCTTCCATGAATTTGAATCCGTCAGCTACGTGCAGGTTGACTTTGGGGCTGTTGAATCCTTCGGCCATGAACGGTAAATATATCTTGGACAGTTCGATAACGCGGTCGTCGATTTCCACTTGGTCAATGGTTTCGACCAATGGGTGTTTGGCTACTTCCCTAGCGACCCCGCCATCGCCGCCGCCCACGATGAGCACCTGTCCACGAAAGATAATATATGATATGAAGGTTTAGGACAACCGACGGATATAGGCACGGAAATGCGAAATTTCAAATTGTGTACACATTTTGAATTTATCATAAGAATATACCAACCCTTTGTGGTTTTGGGTGACTGAATAATGGCAAAAATGAAATCATTTCTTGATAAGAATACTCATCGAACTCCGTGCATTGAATCATGCCATCGAGTACCAGTACGACGCCGTGCGATTTCCTTTTGACAAACCAATTATTTAAATTATTAAGAGACAAAATTATAGTAGGTACCTAGGTACCGAATATTATATTACTACCGGTGGGCCGATATAGCAGTACATTATACTCAGGTGTCAGATAACGGGTGTGTGGGGGGTTGTGGTTATAAGTGCAAACGTACAATGTAACTCATGTTATAGCATCCCGACTAAATTAGGTCAATTATTTCTGCATTTTGAATCGATTATTAAAGTATTATACATTTATTTCATAATTAATATACACGTTTTGTATGCAGGTGGAACTATTATTAAATATCTGAGAATGTGACTACTAGGTACCTATTTATACGAACTACCACCCCCGACTAAATCCCAAATAACCACGTCAACACCACGCCAACGTAGCATAGTACCTATTATATTATACGAAACGAATTAACGAATAAACTGCAAAACATATTCGCAAGTTAATCAAAATATGAAATATATATGTTTTATGTTCAAAGCTAGAACGTTAAAATAATCAATAATTAGTAATTGCTATTTAAATTAATCAAATCTTATCTTAAATTTTTTTTATTCACTTGTATCAATATATAGGTAATCTCCAATATACCTTATACCTGTGTACCTATAATACCTACATTATATAATATATAATTTTACTTTCACAATCAAACGTTTTATTCCTTGTTTTTAAATCTTAATTAATAAAAAAATATGTTATTAATCAATTTTTTTTTATCACCAATAGTGTATTATTATCAATCAATAAACGTCAATTTTGACTTAAGAAATTAAGATTACACACCACTCAGCAAGTCTCAAGTGGTTAATTAATTGTAAACATTATTATATACAAGTAGGCTACTAACGATTTAGAGTTTCTATCGTGGTTTAATATTGAGATTTGGCAAACTTTGTACTACAGATTGGTTTTATAAATAATGACCTTATAAAGTTTTAACCTTTTGCCAATACCTAATATATATTTCATATATGTGTTTTTCTTTTATAAATTAAGTGGTCTTTAAAATAATCAAGTTCTTTAAGTTCTTTTTGATCAAGTCGAAACAATATTGTATATTATAATAATTTATAACACACTAATTGTTAGTAATTGGTATAGTCTATTTATATTTATTATGTTCCTAAATTGCTATAAACTGGCCAATTGGATAACCAAGTGAAGATGGGGGTATGGGACAATGAGATCGCCGGTTGATCAGTATATCGATATGGTAACACATTAACGTAACCCGAGATTGTGATGGAAATACACTATTTACTATCATGGTATTTAATAGGTACCCATTATTAATTATCTCCATCTACTTTATAAAATAATGTACTTCATATTGTATTTATAAGTGCAGAACAAAAAAAAATATTATACTAACGTCTCTTAAATCTGGGCACCCATGCATCTCAAATTAGTTTTAATATTATAGCATTGTTAAAACCGCAGAAAAAAATATTACGTACCTATCTATTCAGTACATTATTACAAAATATTATGTCCCAATTAGTTTTAGTTTTGATGGTATATCGTGTACAGCACTACAGCAGTATAGCATTCCACTTAGAATATCTTATACGCCTATATCAATTAATTTGATACATATAGATTAGAAATATCGCAGTTAATACATATATATTGTCTAATTGTCTATTGCCTATCAACATGTATGAACAATCAAAGAGTGTTTTTTAACGATTAATGATAATCCGTATATCTATTATTACAAGTGTACTATACGACGTCTGTATCTGTCTATACTCTATAGCATATAATTATTTCCAATGGTAGTTTTCTATTTTGAGGGAGGGCAAATTAGTAGGTACCTATAGGGCGCTATAGGTATATACCTACTGGACGATATGCATCTGACATATATGGGATTTAATTTGTTCTTATGATAATATTATCTGCATTAAAGGTAAAATTAAGTTATATATACTAAATAGAATACTAGATGTAGTATAGGTACTTAGATGTAAAAACTAATAATGATACCTTCCACCCAGGAATACTTATCTTTTGAGGACTATTAATGTTGAGATAGATATGTGCGAGATGCTGCATACCATGGTATGCGGCTGAACCTTCCACTTTATTCCATTAGATTAAACAATTTTATCTCTTAATTTCTTTTGTATAATATAATATTTGTCATAATAATATGTAACATACTAACATCATACATTCATACTATATAGAATACATAGTATTCTATGATAATACCCATGCATTTGTTGTGTCCTTCTTACTACACACGTAGACTATAACAAATTTTCGTTCACTATTTTTAATAGTGTGCTGTTAGTATTGCTATTAGAGTGAATTGTCATATCATCAAACTTTAATGACATTATCTGAGCGTCGGCTTTTATTCGATATTTTAATTTTCAAGCGAGATTTGAGCATTTTAATTTGTGATATTTCACATAAGTACCCATATCTTGCTTGAGAATTAAAATATCCGATTAAAAATTTCCGACGCTAAAGCAAACAGATAATGATTTTACAAAGAAGCTTAATAATAGGTCAATTCACTCTCAATATCAAGACTAAAAACATACTATTGAAATTAGTGAACGTCAAATTACTTTTGTAAGACGTAGAGAACAAACGCATGGGAAGCATCCTCTTAAGTCTGTTAATTATTGTTTAAATAGTAAATTATTGTAATAAATACATTTATGAAAATAAAATTTAAAAACTACCTAGTCCAGTATATTTCACTAATCTGTCCTTATTTTTTTTTCATTCTTAACAATTTATTGTGAATACATACATATTATAAATATGCGTTTTTTCATAAATGTAAAAAATTCTCACGATAACAATTAGGTTTCTGCCTTATAATATGTATGTAGTGTATGTCTACGATGTAAGAATATAAAATATAAGTACACGCGTGTGGTGTCGTAACTATTAACCGATTATGAGATTTTTTATGGGAAACTGAATAATATTGTACAATTTTAGTATACAATTTGCAGTAGCCACACAGTAATTTCCAATGAGCTGATAGGGGTTGTGTTAAAATACAATATATATTATACTATGTTTTATAAAACATTTTCAAGGTTTTATGTAGCGGAATAAAACTAAAGTAGGTAGTATGCAGTATATAATATGCAGTCAACCACCATGTTATAATATATTAATAGATTATTATATTATATTATAATGGTATATCTACTTTGGGGCATATAGGTGTGTTTAGAAGTTTTAAATTATTTCACAGAGCCAGCCAAGAGTAATTTGTTGATAAGTTTATTAAATCAATTCCTCTACTAGTTACATAATAAAATTCTAAAAATTTGTTTTTATCTTATTTAAATTCGTAAGTTTGTCTATTGCCAGAGTGGCCAGACACGTAAACACGCTCACCTACTGGCTACTGCTATAATTAGTTACATTTCACACTCAATAATCGACTTCGCGTATAGTTTATTTAAAACGAATAATAAACAGTATCGGAGTATCCACTATATACGGACTGATCCATTTAACGTAAGACACTCGTTATTTTAGAAAACATCGATTTTTTGAAAATATTTCTTTTACAAAATTCTAAGTCGAGACAAAACAACATTTCCGGGTAAAATGTACATTTATCATTATCATTTTTAAAAAAATTTTTACCCTTATTTTTAGTAACAGCATACATTTTTAATTTCATATTCCGAAGCATACCTATACATTTATACGGAGTAATTAGATCTATAAAAATCAAATTTCGTCAAGTAGTTAGTTATATATATTATATTATATTTAGAGTTTAAATGAGCTGAGTAGTTAACAAACATTTGGCGGGGTAGATACCCCTGTGGCCATGTACCACTTCACTCCACATCACTCATCTAAATTTTAAATACTTATAAATGTTTTAGTTATAACTCATTAACTACTAGTCTCAAATTTGATTTTAGGACATAGGTACTATACAAGACATATTCTTCTTTGGAATAAGAAATTGCAAATGCTTGCTGTCATCAACAAATACAAAATAGGAACAAAATTACTGTTTTTATAGGAAAATAAGACTTAAAATTCATATAGTTTTTGAAATAATGAGTGTTATGTTTTAATAGTGTACCTACTTATTTTTCAAGTGCATAATTTAAAATATTATAATACGACAGCAACAATAATCGTTAACATTTTTGGAAAATGTTTAGTATTATAATATAAAATAACTAGTGGATAAACTTATGCCGATGATTAAAATTATTAAAATACAATTGTCATTCGATTTAGGTGTAACTGTGTAAGGGCAATTAAACATTAGTGATGGGGTTGGTATGGTATATATGAGAGGTATGATATTTCCCTTATGGTTTTTTCAATATTTATAATACCATTTATGTATTATCTTTTACCCTAAATGACCTTAAATTTGGTAATTTAATTACAACCGTTATCAATATTTTAATTTATAAACAGCTATTAGATAATTGTACCTATAAAAACCTATGAAACACGTCATTTAACTTTAAAGGATAGTATAATATTATGGCTATCCTTAAATTATGTTTTTAATGATCAAAGTGCACGCGTTAAAAAATCTCACCCCTCCTCCGCCACGATAAAATCATTTGACCACCACTGTTTATTATAGGTACGATCTACAGAACTAACCTGTACAATATAATAATAAATACACTGAAATATAGATCGTTGTTGTAATATTATATCATGTTACATATTATATGTATATAGCCATATAGGTATAACTGCGTATAAGTAACATGAAGTAAATATTATAATATTAAACAGGCAGTTACTCACGTTTTCAACACTAATATCTCCTGGTACTTGGACTGTTCCTGGTGCAAGACCTGTTCCACTTCCATGGAAAAACTTCTGCCCGGCAACAGGTCCGTGAGTTCGCTGAACCATCCGGTCTTCAACTTGTCCATGATATTTGAGTTCCGGCGACGACCTACGGGTTCGTTGGCTGAGCAAGCGAGCACCGGACGTCTAGACGGCGTGGAGCGTAGACTGCAAGTGGTCGTCGACTCGGGCCATATCTACCAATTATGCAATACACGCCTTCCTTATCTCCGGCGACCTTCAACATTACAGCGTCCAATACAAAATAGTATAGGTATTTAAATTTTAAGATATACATATATACATTAAATTGTACTGCAAGTATATAACAGGTACGATATAGGTACCTATTATAAAATTATGTACATATATATATATATGTACATATATATATATATACAAAATTAATATAATATAATGTATATAATATATACGTAGTATACTAATGTTCTATAGTAGGTATATACACTATATATATATAAATATATTACACCTGGTCCTGGTGCAACGTGACTGCAAACGTGTGTTTAAAACACGAGACGTTTATTTCTAATTACCGCTATTTATAAAACGAAGCCATTTTTACAGTTATAGTTTTTAAAATTGATTTTCTTATAATTTCTAGCATAAAAGTTATCTGAATAGAAACTATGTGTTTAAATTGTTTTTTCCACAATTAAATGGTGGATATAACACATTATTTTTTGTAGATACCTATTACCTACTGACTACCTATAGTTACTTATAATACCTGTATTATAAGGCTATAACCTATATATACCTATATTTGTTTAGGTATTGGGTCATCAATCATCTGTTGCAGAAGCTGAATTATAATATGTCAATATATTAAGCTTAATATTCATAAAATAAATAAATAATAACATGAAAATAATAGAGTGGAACGCTTCCGAACTCCCAAGTCCAAATATAATATATTAAGCCATTAAGGTATTTTGTCATGAAATAATATATTGTAAAGGTAGGTAAAGTTAACATAATATAGATCACACATTAAAAATAAATATATACGTAAATTATTACTTATTATAATGCATTAACTATTATAATTTTACAAATACATTTTTAATGAGGTAAGTATAGGTAGGTAAGTATAGGTAGGTACTTATCTATAAAGTTTTTTGTAAGACTTTAGTATTGTAATGTTCAAAAATAAATAAAAATTTGATTTATAAAATATAATATCTTACGTTAAAAAAGAAAACCCCTTTGGAAAATGTTAATTTGGTACCTAGGTATTGTTATGACTGTTTAACCACTATTTATGTACCTATATATTGTATCAGGTATGTTATATCCTTATACAGTTATAAGTTATACCTGTTAAGGGGATTCGATACCACGATTTCCTGTTTTTGTCTAACACACACGCGACATAGTATTTTAGACTTGTTTTTTGCCAAACATACCAATTGATCTAATGAAGCGATAAGAATTCTAAAAACAGCTTTGAATTTGTCGTCAAGTCTACTTGAAATCGACTTTCCCACATTTTTGATTTTTTGATTTTAACTTCTCCGAAAATTGAAATATAACAATTTTGAAATACTCTTTTTTAATATGACATTTTTAGGAATTTGGGGGATAATATCAAATATGTGGGAAAGTCAATTTCAAGTAGACTTGACGACAAATTCAAATCTGTTTTCAAAATTCTTATCGCTTGATTAGATAAATTAGTATGTTTGGCAAAAAACACTTCTAAAATACTATGTCGCACGCGTGTTAGACAAAAACAGAAAATCACGGTATCGAATCCCCTTAAGTGTTAACGTTAATATTATATTACACCTAGTTCTAAATTATAATATATAGTTTACTTTTAAGCAAGCATATTTTGTGAACGAACATAATATTGTCACACGGCCACTCATTGAAATTCGTTGAACAAACATGTTTGAGACCGAGCTAGCCACTACGGCCTACTCAGTAGCGCAAATATGAAAAATATTTAGGGGGGGGGGAGCTCGAGCAACAAAAATTATTTTTAAAGTTAAATATATATTATATTATTTTTTTGGAGGGGGCTTTGAGTGATTTTGAGGGGGCTGAGCCAACCACCTATTTGCGCCATTGGGCCTACTGCATGTGAATATGTTCCGCTATTATATTAGAGTACCTGAGTTACCTACACTAAGCAGTAAGCACCTCGAAAAACTTCTGTAAAATTCTGTTTATTTCCTATAAACCTACAAGTTTCTATTTTTCTTGATTATAATAATAATAAGTAGGTATTTAGACAGAAAAGGTGATAGATAACTAAAAAAACAAGTATTAGTTTTATTTATAAGTAGGTACCTTCTATTTGAGTTGTGGAGACCGGAGACGTCCATAACACAATTGTCTATATTTTAACTGTATAGACTATAATTGCGATTTCAATACATTGCAGTACAGTCCGTACTAGTGTAATACTTACTGTAACATTTAAAATTGTATAATATATTATTTTATAAAAAAGAGAACATTTATATCAAAATATCAAATCTATAAAACAATTTTTCACGAAAAACGAGCAGTCTGATACACGCGTAATTGACAGGGCACTGAAGGTATAATTATAGAACATATAGTAGGTAGTTAACTAGTCACATGTGAGATGCATCATCAATGAACAATGGACATAATATGTAATTTGTTGTACATAAAACTAGAATACCATATTGAATTATCATAATATATTGTAATTGTTGAACTATAATAGTTTATTAGTTTATGCTGAAAGTTCTTAATAAAAAAAAAAAAGAAAAAAAAGGTGCTCTGCTGTACAGTAGGTTACAAGTGGGTCACTGTATAATGGATGGTATTAAATTTGAATTCAATGATAAAATATCATTGTATAAGAAAAACGATTCTGAGCGGAGACGGTATGTCAGTCTAGGTATACAGGGCCGTCCGGACGATTTGCTGGGCCCAGGGCAGAGTAAATTTGTGGGGCCTAAAATGTCATTATCGTCATTATTTAATAGTTAAATACTAGATAAGAATTTATATATACGTTTACGATAAACATTATATCGGTTTTAATAATTTTATAAATATAATAAAATAAAATACAGAAAAATCTTTGTATATATGCTTTACTTTATTATTTATAAATATTTTAATCTTGTTTTGAACTTTTAGTTCTTGGCTATAAAAATTGAACATTATAAACATTTTTAAGTACAAAATAATTTGATAATGTTTGCATAAAATTGTGCCTTTAATTTTTATATGTTCATTACTTTTGAACTTCTAATATGAAATTACTTATGGCCTACATTGAATTTATTTTCCCGACATTTCGCATACATTTTGTCTTACGTGAAGTATACTATCTATGATTTCTGTTGTCTCAAAAAAAATATAATTGTTCTATAAACAGAATACCTAATGACCAGTGGCGCAAATAGGGCTAAAATGTTGGAGGGGGCTGTAGTATATTCAATTACAATAAGAAAAACTTATGTGGGATCTCGATATAAATCTTCAAGCTTATTTAACCCTTATTTCAACATTTTATCATAGCTGCATAAAAACGAAATTTGTAGTTGATAACTGATTTCAAGCAAAAATTTCTATTTTTCTTCAATTTATTATTTTTTTGTTTATCTCGGTTATTTTAAAAAGAATTTGGAATTTATACTTTTGACCCCTCTCACATCCTAAAAATAAAAATATTAACGAGATCCAATTTGCTAGCATAAATCACCCTCAGTCGAAGAATTTTCAATACTCGAATGCCTCTTAAAGCTCATCGCCAAAATAAAAACACACGATTGAAAAATTATAAGATAAAACTTAAAAACCGGTGTAGCTGTCGGACTTATTAAATTAAGTCTAGCAAGTACTTTTTGGTTATAGAATATTGTATGAACTTAAGGGGGATACGGATTAAGGATACCAATTTGTCAGATTTTAATTTTCACGAAAGAAGTCATATAAAGGCAATACAGAGAGTACTTACTCACTATCTGCATGCACCTATAAACTCCAAATTCCACATACAATTATACGAGTCACGAGCTCTGTCATCTCAACTGTAGATAATATCTACTATTCATGCACGAGAGCGCATTCTTCACTTAAAAGTATATGTATACCAATTACCCATAGATATTGTAGATAATAAAATATATTGTTGTACATCTTCGTATTTACCTACTTTGGGTCTGTTTTTATTTATTTATTTCGTATGGCTGGTATACAAATCAACCTTGCAGAAAGCTTAGAAAGTCTCAAGCAGTTTATTTAAATTATTTTTCCAAATGCCCGGATATGGGGCATGAGGCCCTACTCAGTTGGGACCCGGGATGCGATTGCATCCCGTCATCCATTGCCAGCTCGCCACTGCATGGACGTAATTTATGCATATTCAGATTTTCATAACGATAATTTGTGAACGCAGTTCGATAAAAATCTAAAACTTTATAAATTAAACTATAATATTGTATAATAATTTATTATCTGGTTGAATTGTTTAAATATCAAAATATAACACGATATTATAATGTTATTTATTTACATCACTACGGTTTACTTATAAACAGAGTACACTCACAATAAAATATTATTTTGTTGTACGCGCGCGTCGAACTCTATTTTCTGTAAAAATATGTATTTTTCGAAAGAATTTTTGATAGGAATTTCCTTTGCTTCCATCGGTATAGCTGGAGTGTCTTTCCTATTGTCAAGGAGAAAAAATTCAACTACCCATGGATATGGAATGAAAAACATGGAAGACTTCTTGGAGGTAAACAAAATATAATAGATAATAATATCATGTATGTTTATAATTTATATTATAACAATAAACGTTTAAATTCTATAATATTTGTCATTTTTAGTATAACCAACATATTATAAATCATAAATATGAGTAACTTCAACCATAGACCTACTGATAATTTTACACATTAAATAGGTTAATACAATATTAATTCAACTTCGATATGATTTTAAATTTACAAGTAATGCGAATATATAATAATATAGTACCTATTTATATTAATAGGACGAAAACGATAAGTTTTTCGATGCGGAATCGAAAAGTTTTCGGTCCGTGTCCGATGATGAATTTGTA